CTCATGTAAGATATGTTCAAATTCTTCTTCCAGATGAGGTGGCATATTTTGCATCAAACTTGCCATTGATTCTTTCAGCAATGGAATCACCGAACCAAGGATGAGCATCGAGAGGATCAGCGAACACAGTGGGTCCACCCATTTCCATCCAAAATACTGGATCATCAGAGTGCTTATAATTACAAACACTGATCCAAGTGTATCAGCAAGCACATGCAAGAAAACACCTAAAATTTTCTTCGCCTGACATACATCAAAATTCAAACTGTTCGAAATCAAACTGAAAAAAATTTAAATTTGCTCTGACAGTCATTTCCTAACCGGAATAATTCCTCTACAGTTCGTTCATTCGTTTCGATGGCAAATTGGTACTGACATATGCCCGGGGACCAAACCTATCAAAAAGTTACTTGTTTGAATGCGGAAGTCGTCGACATCCTTACCGGCCGATAGTTTCTGTTGGTGTTATCGCTCGAGCTGCTTTCCTAGTGTCTCCGCCTTTCACGGACAGTGGTCTTAAAAAAGATTTTGACCAGAGGGCTGGTCCAGGAAGGCCTCCTGGGGTAGGGAGACGAACAGCGAGAGGGGAAGGGTGTATGGCTTTTGTAGGCGACGAGCAGCGAAGGAGAAGAGAAAGGGAAGCGATGGAAGAGCGGAAGGAGAGAGTTTTCTACAGTTTTAGCACTGCTGCCTAAACCGTTGGGGATGGGAAAGAGAGTCTATCGCCCCCACCCCCCTGAATCTGCCTATGATTTTGACTATCAATATATAAGTAGCAGCCAAAAAGGATATGTTTCGATCCACCGAGTTGTATACGATTTGTTCTAGTACAGCAAGTTGAAATCGTCAGCGCAGATTTGTCATGAGGCTATAATGTGAGTTATGTAAGCAGCTAGCAAAGGAAAAAAATTTGTCCATACCTTGCATATTAGCATTAGCTCCACCGTGACTGTGCCCATGATGTGAGTGTGAATGCGAGTGAGCAGCAGCGGTATCGCCATGGGAATGACCATGAGAAGAGTGACCATCATGAGAATGTGCATGAGTTGCACCGTGAAATGCAAACATACCAAAAATATTCACTATCAGACCAGCAACTGCCACTATCTATGCAAAAATTGGTGTTACGGTGACTTACAGTAAAACAACTGTTACAGTACCCAGGTAAGAACGATTACTACTGTAAAATACAGCAGTAACAAGAGAGCGACATGCACCAGTATTCTTTTTAACGGGATATAAAGACCAATAACAAGAATACCAAGACTGTTTGGGCAATCACTGTGGGCAAATCATTTTAGGGATGTTACTTGAATGCCTGCCAAAATGAGTTACAGGACAATACCAGTCCTCGAAGGGCAGGTATTAGGCTTTTTTTATTAGGCTTTAGGTATTAGGCTTTTTTTTTAAGAATCTAAACAACAGTAGCTTATCAAATCTTCACAATGAACTTACCATCAATTTATCAGTGCTCACATCCGGTGGATCGTACAATCGCTCAAGTGCTTCCAGAAAGATAAAAAACGCTATAACAATGAGAAACAATGCATTTATGAAACCTGAAAAGCGGAAAAAAAAGGCTCTTCCACAAATTCAGTGATATTGTTTGTGCCCATTTAAAAAAAATACAAAAAACAAATCTAAAAAAATACGAAAATCACTGGGATAATCCGGACTTTCGCTCCTGAGCTCCAATATATCCGAAATGCACTCATATATCGATTACAGAACTACGCCAGTCATTTTCATTTTTTATTTATAGCTCTCCCCTCCTCCTTCCCCTCCACCTCTCCTCCCTATTGTGCATGTGCAAAACTGCCCGTGTGCTCCCCCTCCTCATCATGTTTTTTATTAACTTATTTCAAAATTTGCAACTTTTATCACGGCCATGTGTCCGACCTCTGTGAAAAGCTAACGTACCCGGGAATAGCTCGAGTGGTACACGTTTTAGAGCTACCAACGATTCCCTCTCTTGAAAGCTATTTATAAGCAAGCTGGTGGCATTTTTAAAGACGTTTAAAAAAAAGCAGCAGCTACCTGAGAGAACCTCGACACGACCATATCCATAAGAATAATATTTGGTGGAAGGCCAGCGCGACATTACAGATGCAACAAGACCCATGACCTGCAAAACACCCAAATGCCGTACAAAAAGAACAAAAAACTAATGCCAAATGTTCGAAATATGCGGTTACGGCCTTTTCTGAGCGATGCCTTTTGAGCAAAAAGAAAAAGAGATGGGCTATTCCGGGGGAGGGGGGGG